GCATTTACCCAATAGATAAAGGTCTCAGGACAGTTATGGAACCTTTAGATTTTAGAGAATGAAGCTCAATAAATGTTTCATATCTAATATATCTAGGAGTTGAACTTTTTGGAAATTCCAAACTCTCTACATACCCAGAAATTGTCAGGTCTTTTCCTCCAATTAGCGTCAGGCAGAAACTTCCTCAAAATATCTAAGAAGATGAAGGATCATCTGATAGGATAATTAACCATACGGTTACTATATTTAGCATGTCCCCGAAAAGTTCTAGATCACATTTACGTACATATTAATATACACCCTCGATTTTCTGTAAATAAACGGATTCTCTTACTTATATGTTCCTCCTTTTCTCTGTTGTTTGAGTTAATGTGTAGAAGTAATTTGAGGTTATAATAATAAAGCGTTCCAGTAACAGATTTATCAGGAATGTAGTTTGGGTGTATAGATGAGAAGACTCGTTTAAGTATGTCTTGAATCAGTTAGCCAGTATTTACATTATACACAACATAAAACTTGGCCTAAATGTGCACCATTATTTCAAGTTGTCACACTTTTTCATCTATATATTCAAGAAGAAGATTAACTAGATCGAAGGCACGTAAATCGAAATAATTATTGTTCAGAGAAAAAAACTAGACTCGGCATAGTAACAAGAGTAAGATAAAGATTACCTATGTCCGTGCCACTAATCAATTCTAGAAGTCTTTAACCATACATCGCGATTATTGCATTAATTCCAACCAATAAGTGTATATCTTCTGATGCGGCGGCTCATGCTCCATTGAGAGAGACAGGCGTAAGTAGGTAACTTTTTGTTTTGGTCTTATATTTTGGGTTGAGCTTTTCTGATTCTTACGATCCGACGTGAACCACGATCCCTCGTCACGGAAACAGTGGCTGAGTATGTGTGACACATCTGTCAACTATTTCTGTTTACGAAGATTCACAGCCTTATAGAACGTTTCTAATGTCTAATTAGTATCCTACACCTGATTCCACTATGTGATCGAATAGTAGTTACTTACAGATATCGATTGTATTCAAAGACATCCCATTGTCATGGTTTAAAACACATTGAACTCCTGCGTTATTTATATTCTCTATAGGGGGAAACTTACATTTCATAGCACAATTTGATAAAAGATAAGCGATCGTTTCACATAATAATAGTTCAAATTTGGATAAAGTAATTGGCTAACAACTGGTTCATTAATAACTTATTTAGAGAACCCAGCATAAAACAACTAGCCCATTTATATAGATTTACTTCATGTAATGGGAAAACGGAGTTGATCTGTAATCGATTTATGACCAATCTGGTTACATATACTTGTTAATGAAAATCAATGGGAACCAATTGGGCAGATTCAAGGTTAAAACAAATTGTTTATATTTACACAAAAGAGTTTCTAATCCCCAAAACTGTATGTCTTTAACAATATCTACACAATTTTTTAAGGTGTTTTAAAATCAATCTTATGATCTGTTACTAGCGTGGAAAATGATTTTTTATTCCCTATTGTTATGTCCTTGGGCTGTCCATCCACTTTTGGTGCTGAGGATACTTATCTAATCCAGATTAAGACCTTGGCGTGATAGACTGACCGACCTAACTTGAGGCTGGTACGCGTGAGTTCGAAGTGGGGTAGAGAGAAGAAAACTATTCTATCACCTGATTGGCTGACAAGCACGCGAATGAGAGAAGACAAGATAACTGGAACACTACTCGATCTATTCCCGATATCCTGATTATCTTAGGATTAGTGTAAAAAGGTACATGAATAATTAGATGACTAACCCGCCACAACGTACAATTATGTCCAAAGCTGGGAATTAGAGTAGAAAATAGGGTGCAAAATGTTATGTTTAAATTACAATAGCTTCGGAACAGAAAAGGGTATGGCAATGAATCATACATCGAACGAAAGCTTATGTTCTGTAGAATAGATTAGAGACAAAAATAAATGTTAATGTTTTACAAGCTTTGCATAAAATGAAATAACGTCCCGAAACATAGCTTTCGTAGTTTGTCAGGGCTTCTTGTTTCCCTGTTCACATCACCTATGTTTATCAGATTATTTGACAATAACTAATTATGAAAGTATTAAGATACATAACATATGACCTCAGGATGGATTGGTTGATTACTCCACTGTTATGGATGCTGAGGAATAATGTGCCAATCATTAGCATGTTAAGTCTAATGATGTCCTTGGACTTTAAATGAACATTTCCTATTGGCCGTTATTTATTTCACTCGTTAAATATTGTACAGATGTTGTTTTCTATTTTTATGGTACGATGTGGTCTGTTTGGTTAGTATATAAATAGAGTATGTTTGAAATATAATGATTCATAACTCAAAGGCTGTGACTTGCGTTCTAGACTCAACTGGTTGGGCTAGACAGGGAAGCGGGACCAATCAGGGCTCTAGGTCGTTCGCTGCGTGTTTTCCGTGTCACTGTGATTGATCGATTAAAACGCTGCGCATCTAACCGTGCAATCCATCCGTTACAGCATCCATCTTATGTGTTTATGCTCACACATTGGTAAGTGCAGTGTGATATTATGTAAGCATTTATACAATGTTGAGTAGTATGTTTTAATGATAATCGATTTAGTAAAATAGTAGGGTTACTCAATGTCTAATTTTGATTTTTTTTGTTTTTTACAATAATGTCAATGTTTTTCTTTGAAACAGAACTTAATAAGGAGTTCCAATTTTCATTCACTTTTAAATTGATATATGAATTTCAACAAATATCTGTTCGATATCAATTTTTTTTGAGTCGGCAGTTTTAGATCTTCAATAGTATTTGTAATGTAGATTCTTTGAAATATTTTCAGGAGGCTTCTTATCAAACCTCACCTGTATTTCAGTAGACAAAAATTGTAGGTTAGATATTGACCAGTTCATGTGAACTTCCTGTAAATTGATTGTTTTTTTTTAACCCGATCTCCCTTTCGACTTAAAAGTTTGTTTAGAAGGGACAAATGGTCAATATTTTCCCCTTCATAAGTTAGTATGAAATTGTGATGTTATTAAGTCTATCTACAAATTGATCCATAACGAAATCTGGCAGACTATAATTTATGGAATAATTAATGAATTAACAGATAGGAAGTCCTGGATTTTTGCGCGAAATTCACTCATCCATATGGTTAAATGAAATTTCGACATTATAGATGACGTAAGTTCGTGATGGAAATTTTAACATGAATTCTTAACCACAGCTTCTATTTGTAAATCCTAATCGTAGCCTTAGTGCACACGAGGCTTGGGAAGGTCCGCTCTCCCTCCCAAAGTGTCCATATGCGACCATGCGTTCTTAGCCTCTGTTAATGAAGTTCTACTCACTAACTTTTTTCCAAAGAGGCGTTGTTTACGAAAGTAAGGGAATGAAAAGCGAACGTCTGACGATGAAAACGAGTTGGTGAATATAGAGAACTTTGATTAGGAATTTTGAAAATCTTGATTCCTGACGAACAATGTTCATGCGCTCCAAGGGCCCTAGAAAACGAATGGTGTATGGGCCTATATTTGGCTACCGGTTACAGCATCCCTTAACATTGTTCCATTCTCTTTTTTAATTAGACCTTTAGATCAAAGCCTAGATGAGTTGCCTCCTAACATTCTACTTGCTTCAGTTTAAGCCATTTTGCTGTATCCCAGCCTACACACAAACTTGTTCTGTGCAGTCTAGTCTATTTTCGGTGCCTAATTGTACTAGATTTTTATTCCATAGATCATAAACATAGAATTTTGTCTATATTTGTGAGATTCAAAGATAAACAGTATGATTGTATATATTGTAAAACATTAACCTTTATCGCTAGTAAATTTACAAGACGTATGCATCCACTGATCTAACCAGTTTTTACATAATCAATCAAATATATTTTTAAAGGAAGCGATCAATGACAACAGGAGAATAACAATTAGATCAACGGATAAGTTTTGATTGTGAACGAAGTGATCTCAAGTACTGTTAGAGGTGTGACGCAGTTGTTAACTGTCGTTCGAATACGCTTTGAAGTAACAAATGATATTGAGATGCTTGAAAATGAAACTAGGTCGGAGATGGTCTTGACAAACTGGTATAGTGATCACATTGCTAAAAGGAAAACTGCCTGTGGTCTGTCATGTACAGTTAGCAACAGAAATCCAAGCAATAAAGTGAAACGTTTTGTTTTTAGGGTCTCTCTACATAATCCGGGGTATGAAACACGGTTGTTGGAAGTAGAACACATATGTAGTTTTTGTCATAGGTACTTCGAAGAACTATTTGCTTATCGTGAGACGACCTGTTGAGAAATGTTTAGCTACTAGTTAATAAAAGAAAATCGATCGATCAGGTTATAAATCATCACCTGAGGTGGTTGGGGCAGTTAGTTATTGACAGTTGATCTAAGTCATATTGGCAGATGTAGAATACCTAGTTGAGATCAGCGTAATAACCGTCATCAGTGATTTGAGACTTTAGGTAATATTGGCTCAGAATCTATCAACATTACACAAATACGTTGACTCTTTATCTTCTATTCGGTCTTGAATTTCAGTATTTCTTCGTATATACCTTCCAACACTATCTTTTCAAGCTGTATTCTCAATATATATTTTCTTTCATTATCAATGCTATCTATAGTATTTGGATTCGACTGCAACTCGTCATGTTGATCTGGCATAGTAATTTGAGCCAATGCTAATTTGTATTAGGTTCTAAGTTGATTATAAGTGACTAGATCAATGGATTAAAATAAAGCACAACATTGAGATTAGATGGTGGTTGGAGATAGTCGATAGAAAACCCTGGACCCGGGTTTTGTGCTACTTGGCACTCGTCAGCAAGGTAAACCTGTAATCTTGGTGGAACTGGTGCTCCCCGGCGGATTCGATCCCGTTTCAACCAATTTCATGGTCAGAAACGTTACCACTGAGCTATCTAGATCCACACATGACATAGATCAATCAATTGTAAAGCACAACATTGATTTTTACAAGCAAAAAGAGGATGTATTTGTTGTTTTAAAAATAGAATAGTCAATGCATAATGAAACTATGCGTATAACACATTACTAAAAGCATTAAAAAAACGGTAAAACAGATTATTATTGTTATTATCCATCGTTTAAATGTTAGATTCCTTCTGAATAAAGATGAAAAGTAAATGAAGAGAAAAAAAAAGGAATCAGATTTTCTAAATAAAATAAAAAATTATTTACCAAACATCTTTTATTTCTGATTGAGATCACGAACCGATTGATGTTAGACCACCTTTGGAAACGTGGAAGCACTGGACAGCCTTTCCGTCCTATTGTGGGACTCCTCAGCAGTGCGCATCCTCGATCCCGCTCACGGGATTCGAACCCAGGGCCTTCAGTCTCGCGCGCGAACGCTTAACCTACTGGACCACTGAGCCGGTATTCAATGGTGATGGTGTCTAACATCGACCAATCCACGAAATTGCGCGACCATCTTCCATTGTACTGAGGTAGATACCTGTCTCTACCCGACATGGATTAGCTCCACTGGTCACGGCTTCTCAATAGAACTCCGAGAATTCCCTCACGAAGCTAGTCACTAGTGAGCACATGTTGATTACTAGTATAGGGGTTGTGGAGATTATTAAGTTTTTGACTAGCTTCGTGAAAAATCAGTCGGTTCATGATCTCAATCATAAACTTAATAATCTCCACAACCCCTATACTAGTAATCTTTTATTTCTCTGTTACATAATGCAAACCGTTAACATGTTACATGAAGTGTTAACGTCAATGTTAAGTGATTACATAACTTAATGAAAGATTAGATTTGCATTTAATCTAGATTTGTGTGTTAGTTAGTGTTCATGAAAACAAGAAGTTTCCATAGTTTGGAAGGGGTTAGGAAAGACTACAATTTGTGGACGAGTCAATCAGAAGCGTTTGAGGGAGTTCAAGGTCACGGCATCCATTTCAGTACTTGAGGTTTACATACAATCGGTTCACAGAGGATTCTAGGGAAGATATGATAATTGAACGGCTACAACAAATGGAATTATTGAGAAGTTTCTTCATTTGTTATTGTGGTAATCAAATGACTTGTTGACCTTTGTGTAGACTACCATGATGTTGTCCTTCGATATAATATATGTTAGAGGAAGAAGTCTGCAAGAATAAGGACTTTTTTCGTTTGATTCAGATAGAGACGACGACAAATTCTGATATTTGTTGCGAACTGTATAATAAAAGCATCAGTAACATTGGCTGCAACATTCGCAGATGTTACTGAAGCTTCGGTTGTTTAGTGGTATGAGTATTGTAGAGATATATGTGTAATAAAAATGATAAGCTTACACAACCGGAGTGCACACAAACAATATTGAGGAAATGTGGTCGAGGCTGAAATAGTTTTTGCGACCTTATCATGACTCCAGAGGCCTAGTATTATAAAGCCATATGGATGAGTTCCTCTATCGAATGCATTACGACTTTAAAACCTCTGAATCTCTTTCTAACCTTGACAAGTTTTTGAACCATGTAAAAGAAGTGTATCCACTTTAATTCTTTGGTTTTACATAATGTTTCTACTATATACTAACTGTTTTCTGATTGATTAACATTTTTTAAGGTCACTTAAAATTCATTCAAAGGTAGTCCATAAATTATAGTCTCGTCAGGGATTGATGCATCTCATGAGAATTAAACCAGTTTCAGAATTAAGGATGTTATCATCGAGTTATTCAGACCGTGATTGACTGCATCTTTAACTCTTCAGGATAGAATTCATTGTGATAAGTATTGTGCAGAGCATTTTCTTATTTACTTGGCAAGAATCTTTACAGAAATGATTTTCTTATATGCTTGTTTCCTTCTGTCGTTTAACTACTATTATATCCTGTCTCTCTCTCTTTTAACAATTCTAGGATTCACCGTTTTACCTTTTAAACCGAAAAGATGTGTTATACACAATGAATGGAATGGATGCTAGTTAGTAATTACCCATCTGTATGTTAAGTTATTAGTTATAAACCAGGTATCTGTGATGTATGGAAAAGTTATCCACAACAGACAACAAGTGAAAGTTGTGTAATATCGTGAATTGACTGAATTTGGACACTAACACGATTGGATACCGGCTAATTGATCTAGAGTTTAGACATTCGTGAGCTAGACTAAAGATATTAGGTTTGACTTCTGGATGTAAAGTTGTGAATGTACACTTCCAGTAAGGAGTCCTGTGCTAGAATGAAACAGGCATTCAATTCTTCTCGCAAATTCTCCGTGGTAATCTAGTAAATATTAGTTCTTGATTAAAATTGAAAATTTATGATTGATTAATGAACACATGAATATGATAACATCTATGCCTCCAAATGCCCTGGTACGGCCGAGAGTGAAGAGAGTCCGCTCTCCCTCTCGAAATGCTCTCACATGGCCACGCGTATATAGCCTCTGCCACAGAAGTCCTACTCACTGCCTTCTCGTGGCGGTGTTGTTCACGAAAAGCGAACGTCCGGCACTTTAACCGGGTTGGTGGACACAGAGAGTCCACCTAGGGGAAGTTGGAAAACCCTGATTCCAAACCAATGGTGCGCATGGACCCCAGTATCCTGAGGGAACAAATGGCGTATGAACCAATTGTTGGTCACCGGCTACCATGTGACCGCATCTCCTGACGTTGCTCCACTGCTATGTGATTCAGAATTTTGTTCGAAGGCTCTGGGTGTGGCTCCCTAAGAAAACCACCCGCTTCAGTTTGGGCACCCGAGAAGTATATGTGGCGCATATCTATTCGGTGACTCCTTGTACCTTGATAACATCTATGTATCGTTTATATAAAAGCGAACGTGAAAGAATTCATCTTAATAAATCATTTATGATGTAAACATGAACTCATTCAAAGTTTAACTATTCAAGTCTATATAGTAGGTTTAATACAACTTGAATTTCTCAATTTCATACTAAAATTTAATCAGTAATGATTTTAACAAACAATAAGAATATAAGATGAATCGCTAACAAACGACAAGTGTAATTATTAAGATAAACATTCAAGGATGAACTAATTACAAGGTTAACATAACTGTCCATAATAAACATCAACTTAAACATTGACAATTAAATAAAATCATATGAATGTTTGTATCACAGTCTTGTTGTATGACACTTTATTGTCATTATTCATATATATAATTCCAACTCAGATGTTGAATATTTTTGTACTTTCTAAGAAACCTAAATGTCATCAATTCAATACCCTATGAAGTTGTACGAATGTATAGTGGTAAACAGTTCCAAACTATCACAAGACAATAATGTTACGATGCTACTCAGAGTATTTTAAGTAGTACTATAGCTGATGTTAGTCGATGATGGTAAATAGACTTGGAAACATTGAACAATCTCCACAAGAATCTTATATGAATATTATATATATATATATATATATATATATATATATATATATATATATATATATATATATATATATATATATATATACTTTTAATGGTCAATATTAAATGCCACACCCACCGAAGATTGATTCTCCACAACAGATTTCTTATTCAGTTTATCTTTGAGTGCTTCGATGTTTTGTTTATCCTAAGAAAAGGGATATTTAAAAATTATTAATAATATTTAATGATTACCAAACGTCGGAAGTATTCATCTTCTAAAGTGGCTTCCCTTTTACCTAGTGAACCACCAGCTTCACGAATAGAACCACCGGCACCACCTCCCTAAAACAGATAGAGAATTATATATATATCAGAAGAGGTTTTGTGGAGATTGTAGTAATTTCGATATTTGAGATCATGAGCCAATTGAAGCTAGACCATCATGGAAAACCTGGAAACACTGGGCGGCCGTTTCGTCCTGTTGTGGGACTCCTCAGCAGTGCGCATCCACGACCCTGCCGCACGGGATTCCGTATCCTGTATCAAGAAACTATTATTCTGGTTTATATTTTGTCCTTAATAGATAATCAGATTGTGAAGAACCGAGCTTATTATCAAGCATCAAATCGTATTACAGAGAATCAGAGAAACTCATCTCCGTTATATAATAATGGTATGTTAAATGTTTATGTTGGTAGATCCTTGTAACACATAAACTTGTGTCGCAAATCTGGTCATATAAAATAGAAGAGTCTTTTCAAACATATTTTTATTACTGCCACAATATTTCTGACATTTAAACATTATGTCATCGAGTAATTCATTCCATCAGAACTGACGTCAACATTGACCGTTCATTTTGCTCAATAGAAGAATACAGACTGATAAATCTATTGTTGTCAAGGTAAAAAGTTGATGTTATTATTATTGGCAGGATTCGTAAAGAAAATTATTTGAGAATTACCTTTCCTGCTCCACAACCAGGCTCTGATCCTTCAAACATAATTTGTATTGTGCTATAAACATATAAAAAAAACTTTAAGTTAATAAACAAGTTCTTTAATTAGATTGGTTAAATCAACAACATCAGACAGTAGCTGTTACCTAGATAAGGTGGTCAGAGTTATCAAAAACGACAACCTATCCGAACCCTATACCCTGCAATAGGAAGGTCAAGGGCGGAGGGATAACACTAAACGAAACAACTTAAGATCTGAAAGCGAAGTTATACTGCTGACTATAGTTAAGTATGAATAAAATGTTTTCCTCTCCAAAAACTAGCATCTGAAGTGGTGTAAGACTCTAACAAAGGGAATGAATTGGTTGACAAGAATAAATCCCAAAAAAGCACACCTCATCTAGTCGCAGATTCGCACCCTTGGCAGTAACGCTTTAAAACTAACTCATAGGAAACTACTTACAAAAAAGCATAGTGGTCATGCTTCAAAGTTGGTAAAATCATAACTAATTCAGTTTCATTTACAGACAACTAACTGAAAAAGAAACTTCTGTCTGGGTAACTGGGAAGTGATGACTACAATTCTGCTAATCTTGTTGACGATCAAATTCATTCAACCTATCTCTGTTGTCTGATAGTTCCGTATTTTTCTCTATGTGCCAACAATGCAAACGATATGAATTCAGGAAGTGTTGTTTCTTGGTTTCGTGAAACCACGTCCAAATCTACACGTTGGGGTTTTTAGTGTTTGAAACGTGTTGTAAACTACACAATAGGCTTTATTAGCTAGGACCCGTGCCGTTGACATTTGCTACATCTCCGGAACTTACATACAGAGTCCAAATGTGGAGGACCAATGCGATTTACACTTTGTTTATCTGGAAACTTGACTGCTACTTCTCGTGAGTTCGCTGGCTTAATTATGGAATTAAGTTCTAAGATAGGACAGGCTCTCCAGAACTGAACGTAGTGCTCCTGTGTTGCCTGATAAATAACTACTGTAACGACAAAGAAAAGTAACACGGGACTATCGCCTCGACATATCTGCTTACGCTCCCACTAAAGAAAAAGATGAATTTTGCAGAAAGCTTACTTACATTCTTTGAAAGCCTAAACCCTTGAAATCAGTAACTATGGCAACCGATTTCAATGACAAAGTAGGTAAGCCAGACCAAGGTGAAGGAAACTTCAGTGTTTACCATGACGACTCACAAAACCAGTTTAATGGCGGATATAAATAGATTACATTTCCATCAACTAATGTTGGAGAGGCTCGATAGGAGACTGGCACCCATTCTAAAATATATGTTCAGATATTTGAAAACGCGCTAAACAAGCACCCGTTTTTCTGCATCATACTGGACTCAGAAAATACATGGTTACACCCCCTGAAGTTCAACTTAAAGATGAAAAATTTAAGCGAATCGCAACAATAACTATAACAGTAATTAGTCAGTCATGTAGCAGAAGAGATAACGGAATCACGAGAATTCATAATGTTGTATGCCTACAAAATCCGTGCTTTATTGGAATTATAAATGATATGACATGATAGAAGGATAACATTATTTAGGTCATTATTTTCTGGTATCTATCTGGCATAAACTTTCTTCTATATGACAAATGTGAACTCTCGTTCAATGTGACAATTTTGTTTCGTATATTAATTCAGGTAAGCTATATTTAGTGTTCTTCACAGTAATCCTATGTATCTCATAGTATTTCTTATTATGCGGTATGTGTAAAATTTGACATATAAATGATTGCGTCGTGGGAATTGCAGTGATCGTCGTTCTCCTGTATAACCAGTAGGATTGAGGAGTTGCAGTGGTTCCCGATTGTCAAGTAAAAGCAGTTAGGCTGTAAACTCAATAGGGTTGATACGTACATAAGAGCGACGGCTCTTCAAATATAACAGTTGGTTATGCAGTTACAGTTACGGAGCCAATTTTCCTGGTTAACATTGGAGACTCCTGGGATGTAACAGTAAACAGTGAACCAAACCGACGAAATTGTCCTTTCTCTTTCTATTAATTTAGCTGAGTATCATGATTAACCTTCGTATAATAAATGCTACCAAGATCTTGTCAGCGAAATCCGATGTAAAGCCTCCCCGCGATGCTGCTGGTTAGTAGGTGCAACCGTACTAGCGAACTTGGTCGGTCGGCGGTGATCGGACTAATCCACCACTCTGTTGTAAACGGAATTAACTGGGTTCCGTTCTCAGGGCTCTCCAGAAATCTGGCCGGCGACCCGATGTGTATGCTTATGCATATGAATTGCATGAGTTTTGGCTTGAGTGGTTTATGTAGATATATATATATGCAAAACGTACGCGTGTGGGTTAGCACAATGAACGTACGCTGAAAAATTTCTGCCCTACGTCCAATAAAATCAGTGGACTGATCTTTCAGGTCGAAGACAATAAAGAAGTATATGATAGAAAATACTAGGAAGAGTTGAACATCAACCTTCCCTGAAACAGTGCTTATGTCCAGGTGTACTTTGAGATGGTGAAGATTTGCAGCTCAGATGTGCTCCAGAAAATCAGGTAAAAGTGAAGTATTCGAATTCCACCACATATGATTCACGGCTTTTCCTGTCGACCTCGATCTTCATTGGTTATTGTTGACCTTTAACCTGTCATTATTTACCTCTCTATTTGTATGGAATCTCCATTTGATCTGATTATTAGTCCTATATTTGTCCATGACTTTTCCGATTGGTTGGTAGATTGGATCAGTTTCGATGTTTGTTTGGTGATTAAAATGAGTGCCAAGCCTCTGAAAATTCTCAGGTTTTTTTATTACTTCCTTTATGCAAGATCTAAACATATTTCCAGTCGAATGTGTGCCCATAGTATCTAAAAAATAGACTATTTCAATTGTGAAAAGCACTGCGCTGGACAAAGTGAACACCCCCATCGTCGTTGTCTTCATGGACATCAATTAGCGGTCAAACGCTATGACATCTTCGCTTATATCAATGCATGTAGACAAATAGATTCGGTCATCGTCCAAATCATTAAGTCAACGTTCTACATAAGTCCTTAACACAATAAATATATAAATGAACGAACAACCGAAAACATCTCACATGCATTATACAGTAATAGTGATAATGAAAAGACAAAGTCTATCTATTAAAATACATTGTATTGTATGCAATAAATTTCAGTCAGTTTAATCATATACTTTTGGACAATAAATTAAGCGAAAAAATTTACAGTAGTATTGTTATGATTCTTTCTACTTGTATCAGATTTTGCCCTAAGAAAAGTGGTTATTGTTTGTTCATTTATAAATGGGTTCGTAACAGCTGTTTTCTTTATTGACTATTGAAAATTTTAATCTGAGGAATTGCTTAATCACATAGGCACAAGTATCCATCCTTCAATAACACACATCTATATGTTATTCGTTATGGGGGATTTGTGGATATTGCTAAATTTTATATCTTACATCACGGAATGATCATAGCTAGTAAACCAGTGGACACAAGACAGATATTTAGTTCCTGTGTGGGATTCCATAGCAATGCTTCCTAGTTTTCAATAGTCAATTCATGATGTTAACCTTAAAATTCAACAATCTCTACCAAACCCTTTATACTAAATAAGTATGTGACTACTAGTGACTAGATTCGAGAATCCCCGAGGTCCTAGTATTAAGCTATAATCAACAGAGTTTAAACAAGTCGAATGAACAACAGTCACTCGAGAAAAGCATCAGAAGATGGTTGCACAATATCACAAATTTATCGTAGACACGTAAAAAATTATACGCCGACTTATTAGTTCGCAAACCAAATATTTGCCGAAGATATGGTCATGAATCCGACTTTTGATGGGATCATGAGTATTTTTTTTCCATAAGTCTCATACTGGGAAAAGTTCATGATGCAGGATTTTCGATGTTCACTGTCACTGAGAAGTTCCATAATAGGACGAAATGGCCTTCCAGTGCTTTCAGGTTTCTAATGGTTGTATACTTAAGATGTGTTCGCGGTTTGAACTGTGAAAATTCTATAATTTCAACAAATCCTCTACACAAATTATAAATACTATGAAAATTCAATCCCGTTGTCTTGCCACTAAAAATCGTTACATTAAGTGGGAAGTACAAAGTGAAAATCAATATATACCCTAAAATATGACCCAGTTACCCTCATCGGAACAATACAAACAAATATTGTCTCCTCCCCTCTGTTATGATTTTCGTTAACCCAGACTTAAAATTAAATGGATCAATGTAACACCCAACAAGCTCATTATCTTCGCTTAGTTTCTAAATAAACTACTCAAAATTACTTGACATTAAGGCTTATCATGTATTGGTTGTTTGAATCTTTCCATTGGAGCTTAGGACTGCAATTGATCAATCTCTTATTGGCCATCAACTTAGCTACTGAGTCCAAATAGCCACTAACTTGTGTAATATGGTGAAGTTTAACTCATTTTATTTTGGTTATTTGAACTAAGGCTTATTATTAATCAGCAATACAGTCCATAATCCTTAATTACAGAAAAAAAGTAAAAGTGTGTCCCGATGAATCACTAAGCACCATATATAAGAAATATGGTTCATTGACTAAACTTACTGTGAATTAATAATACAACATTGTTCATAGTGAACATTTAGATAAATTAAACACTGACCTAAAACAAAACTTGAGTTTTACACCTGTTCTCATTTATCATTTAAATGTATATCTTACATTATACTCAATGAAATTTAAAGATTCATTATCTAGTCATTGATATTAAGGTTATTTTACTCATATTATTACATCTCCGCATCGAGGTTATATTAAGTCGTATCACCATAATTTCAATGGTTTTTTAATATAATTAACAAATTAGTTTTCTTATGTTACTCAGTCAGTCAGCTACAACGTAGCACAGAGCAGGTATATGCATCGGTCCAAGTTACCACATCTCATTAGCACAACAAGATGAACACCGAATTCATAGAAGTAGTCACTTCAATAGTAATGTATAAAAGATTGTGTATAAGGATTGGTAGAAAGAAAGATATAGAGCAATTTTAATCCGATAGTTTAAGGGAGGACAAACGATGTATACACCGACGCCATGGTGGTCGATTCTGAGCCATGTCACCAAGAGTCTCCAACCATTGGTTACGATAGTCTCACCGGACCCCAACCAAGTAGTCTGCATCTATTAACATGGCTCGGACCAGAAGTTATTGACTTCACGCACTGATGCCGTTTTAGTTTGGCCGACCCTAACTTTCTTCCAACCGGTTCCAACGCTAGTCACTATTGCGCGTCGTGGTAATCGATGTTCAGGCATACGTAACACGTAGCCCAACCATCTCAGTCGATGAAGATTCACAACCTCATTAACTGATTTAGCATCATTTCCTAATACCCTGCGTCTAACCTCACTATTCCAGCAGATGCGAGCAATATTTCTAAGTCATCTGTGTTCAAATACTAGTAGCTTACGAGTATCTTCTAACCTTAATGACCACGTTTCGCAGCCATAAAGTAGAACAAAACGAACTGCCGCACAGAATTCTATATTACTTAGAATTCTGCATGTATAATTACATTTACTTAATAGAAAGTTTCGTCAAAGGTGAGAAGTTATTTCGAAAACACCAATATGACACAATATCCGAAAACTGTTATTCTTTCTCCATTGCCAATCATTTCAGGCGAATAAATGACAAAGACTAGTTTACAACCTAAACATTCCTCTTCACGAATGTACCGTTAACAAAGACGGTGGATTTCCTTTGTGACTATATTTCTAAAAACTTCCTCCTTTTTCCTATTCCGTTACCATTTTTGAAGGAATTACTTTTATTATGTACAGCTAATGTTCAATTTACGTTTGATGGTGAATATTTTCGACAAGTTGATGGTGTAGCTATGGGTAGCCCTTTAGGGCCTCTCTTAGCTGAGGTATTCATGTCATATGTGGAAAATATGACGAGCGACCTCATTAGTGAGACAACTCTATATAGAAGATATATGGACGATGTCCTAATTATATGTGATAAGGATTTTGATGTTTACCGATTACTGGATAAACTCAATGGTGTTCAAAACGATATTGTGATGACACATAAATCAGAAAGTAATGGCCAATTAGCCTTTCTAGACATACTTTTAAGTTAAAGGGATGATGGCACTATTAGACGGTCCGTGTATAGGAAACCAAATTGGACGGGACAATACTTAAATTTCCATAGTTTCTGTCCATTGCAATACAAGAGAGGTCTAGTTAAGCGCCTCTTCAAGAGGACTCGAAGAATATGTACCTCTGATATGGTGGAAAAAGATGAAAAGTGACTGACTGACACTTTCATAGCAAATGGTTATCCACTCAAGTTTATTAATAGGTGCAAAAGTCAGTTAATGCCAAGACCTCTAGTTTATTCAGTGCCAAAGAAAAAGGTTTATATCAATCTACCATATAGAGGCGAATCTAACAGTATAGTTTTAAGGCAGAGATTGAAAGCAGCCATCGAGAATACGTATTATGCTGCTCAGTTGGTAGTGATTGAAAAGTCTAAGGCCATGATTCCTAATAGACCCAAACAATGCACTAATGATTACGTCACATCCCATTGTATTTACCAATTTACATGTTTGTGTGGATACACGTACATAGGGAGGAGTAACCGAACAATACAATCAAGGGTCAATGAACATGTGCCTAGATGGCTTCAAAATCAGTGTGTGTCAAATGATCCGATCAATGTAGGAGGTAGAAAACCAAGTTCATCGATAGCGAAACATATAATTGAGACGGGGCACAAAATTAACATGAATACAGCATTTAGAACGTTGTATAGAAATTGTCAAGGTCGAATTTTTAAGTTTATTGAAGCCTTGGCCATTCGTAAATTTAAACCCCCCTTATGTGTACAAAAACAATTTGTCGCAACCTTGAATTTACCTTGGTAATCCTTAAGTCATTCTATGGCTTAGGATAACACGACAATTTCTTATTCTTTCTCTCCCCTTAGTTATTTTAATTGTACTTTTATTTGTTTGACCTTTATTAATTTTCATATAAAAATGCCTTGACAAGTATATGTGTGACCAGATTGTTCGAAATGTATAGCGCAAATACATCACATTTTTCAGATCAACTCTGTCTTCTCACTGTTCTATGGAAACCTAAACATTAATTGGTAGAAAAAATAAGTAAATGTATCAATCATGTCAAGGGGATTTAGTCATTCTATGCTATACATTGATCCTTAAAACAAAGAATAAAAAGACAGAATAGATATCTGTTTTGGAAATAAAATACTTTCTAAAATCTTGACGGGAATTAACCAACAAAAGTTGTGTTAGATCTGACACGCCGAAAAACTTGAAATCTTAGGGTCTGCATACCAAAGGAATCGATGGTTAGAGACATTGAATGACATGACTCAAAATCGTTTATAATGGCGCAGGTGCATCTCCTCTTTGTGTTCTCACAAATTCTAACCTTCTGAATACTCTATGTCCCTTTTTTCTCTTTCCAAATCTATTTCACTGGATTCTACTCCTTGAACAACATCTTCAAACTCTCATCTTTCCGATTACTGCTTATATCCTTACTATCTCTACCACTACTGGATTTGAATCGACAACTGCATCTCAGTGCTAATGTGGTATGGCAACTCGAACTGATATACATACGTACAAAGTTCTACGTTGTTACTGACTGACTGACGGAATAAGTTTCCCTCCTTGTCTTTTTATTTTATTATGAAATAGGTTAGAAAATGATTGAATGATACAGAGAACTTATGCTGTTAGCTTTTTGGATTGCAATTTCGTGCTTTGTTTTTTCTGGGATTGCAAAGGGATCATTTTTGCTTTTTCTTTTGATATCAGTAACACTACAACTTATTAATCGAACCGATTAGTTAAAGGTGACTGAAATTATACCTGATAGAATATATAGAAAAAAGTATTAAAGATTATTCAGTAATTTATCATCATTCGACTTTCAAGTACAGAAATCTGTTGGATATGTGAAAATCTACATATACACAGATACATATCATGCTAATTGGAATTTCAGTCTATAATATCTAATACAAGTCGACAAAAATGGTCGATCCTGTCAACTAATGCTTCTTTTCAAGATCAGCCAGTAATTTTTTCCGTTTTTTGAGTGATTCCTAAAGGAAATATAAAAAAAATGTAGAAGTTTCACATCACTGAGAAAAGTCCATCGCAATAATATCGAACAAAAGAAACACCAACTAACAATATGGAATGGTTTTTAAATTCAGTGGAGGAAGAACTAGTAAAAGTATAGAATAAGGAGAGACGAGCCAATTACAGTTGAGGATTTTCAGGTTTCAAGTCTTCGCCAGCACTGATCGGATAATAAATAGCCAGCAAGCGTGCCCCATCACAATCCAATCTAGCAGATTCATAAGATCTGGTATTAGAGTCCCGCTAAGACCGCGAGAGTGGTCTGTACTTTCGATTTGTCCACCTTCTAGGCAATAATGAAGTGGTATTACTCTTTGCTCGCACAGAGACTGACCTATCTGTTCCAGGGTTTTTGATTTGAAAGGTGTCCACCAGAACATCAAGAGGTATTCTATGTCTGGTCTTGTTGCTGGTGTTAGAAGTTGCTTTCAGTTGGTAAGCATGACCTACCCAAACTTCTGATCCAACTGACGCCTCGTAAACCACATTTGCATTCATTTCACGATTCGGCAAGCTATCCATGTAGGATGTTTGCTATGATAGTCTATAGTAAGTACTTTTTGATCCACCGTAAGCAATCGTCTTTGTACCCCATGATGTTCCTAAAATCTTTTCGGTCGTCCCCTCCCTTTTTGATTTTTGAAGAGTAACAAAGCCTTCTACCTGGCCATTGGATCGGGGATGGAATAGAGGTTTTCGGGCATGACTGATTTCATTTCACTGACAAAATTCTGAGAAGGTCGCAGACGTAATCTGTGTTCGATTGTTGTTAACTACTAATTCTGGGACCCCGAAACGACTAAACAGTTGCCGTAGTTTTCTGGCTGTGCAGCTTACAGTTGGATGTTCAATGATAAAAGTTTCCGGCCACTTGCTGTATGCATCAACTACTAGAAGGTAAGTTTGTTCATGAAGTAGACCAGCAAAGTCCAAAGGTATACGCTACCACGGTGACTGTGGCGATGGCCGTGATTGCAGCTCCGCTTTCCGTGATACTTTTGTTTTGAATGCATATTTGGTACACGAACGGGATAGCTGCTCCAGTTGAGTGTCTAAATGCAGCCAGTATACATGACTTAGTGCTAGTGCTTTAATGAGATTTATTCCAGAATGTCCCGCGCGTAACTGTTCAAGCATTGTTGGTAGCAGCTTCTTTGAGATTATGACACGTTTGGCAAACGGAAGGTAGTCGCTTATGATTGAGGGAGATAGTCCGCGCTGATAAAACTCCTGAAGCTTTGTGAAGCTGGTTTTCGAGGGCCACCCTTCTAGGTGGAACTTTTTAACTTGTAAAACTGGGTCTTGAAGAGTTTCTTCTCTGACTTCCTCTGATGACACTCGAGTGTGACGAATGGCATCTGCTATTATACACCTAATTTCTGAATCTACTATTATGGAGGCAAATTTTCTTTTTAGCTTTTCTAGAAACCTTTCACCTGTCTTTTCTGCAAGTATCGGGGTGTCCAATGATGAGCACGACAAGTTGCAGACACTGTTAATAGGTATATCCATTATTCCAAGTTTTTCTAGTATATCTAGATTAAGAAGATCAAAGTTCGGCTGTTCTGTTAGATAGCATATTCCTTCATAGTTAGTCCAAATGAAGGAAAATTCACACTGTAATTCGTCAACCAGTTTTAGCACTCCTCTTGATGAGCTTTTAGCGGTCTTCTTAGACGGCTTCATTGGCGGTTTCCCAAGCAGGTTATACGTTTCTCTAGACACTAGGATGGTACCGGATGCTGTGTCAATTTGAAGACGCACCCCAACATAATCCTGTATGGAATATGCTTTGATCTAATTTGTATACGCCAACAGTGTAGTACCAAGCATTTCAGTGAGTAAATTTTGTATATCACAGAATAATCTTTACTGGATATTTTATTTCATGATGCACTTTTCAATTTATTTGCTTTTTATCTGGTATGCTGAAATTAACCACAGTAGAGTGTTTGTAGAAGAGACATGTGGATGGCTTCAAATGATTGAAATGGAATCTTCTAGAGAAAACTATGCTCTTATATGCACATACTTACCTATTAAATCAACAAAAAAAGTCTCGAAAATGCTAGATACCACACTTCTATTGAATATTCAGAACAGATTGATGACTTTACACGTACATTTTTGCCGAATGAATTGAAGTAATACAATAGGATAATGAAGTTTATCAAGACCATCTATATATGATATCAGATTACCTCAATATATTTTAAATAACTATCTGATTACAAATATTTACTTGTTAAGACATTGATTTATGAGAAGTAAATGTCATATTAAGCAAATTGGAATATAGAAATAATAGAGAAAGACAGTATAAATTGTACCACTTATGAAAAATAAATCAATATTAGTAGGGTAGGTTAAAGGGTAAGGACAAATAGTTTTTGAATACACAGGGAAGATTTGAACTTTCATATGACTAAGCCAACGTTTCACAGCAAATCTAAGTATTTGGCTCAAAACACCTTTTACATAAAGCTACAAAGATTAAATTGAGATCGAGCTTATAACCTAATTCAACTGTATATTTAGTAGTGGAAGAATATATTCTTTGTATCATTAACTTTTACTGATCAAACTCGAAATGGGATGATAACCAATTGTTCATTGATGCAAATCTTACTGCATCATATATATACTGTTATATTTCCTGCGCATCGACAGCCTTTAGGTTCAGTCAGTCAGTTATAATGAAACGTAGAACCTAACATATATATGTACCAGTTAAAGTTGGTTAGACATATCAAAAGCTCGATGAAATTATAAAGATAAATAATAGGGTAGTAGTCGAAAAGGTTAGGTGTAGTAAAAAAAATGAACAAAAAGGTATGAAATTCCAGGGTTCAAGAACCATGGAAAGATAAAGCGTAAATGCGCCTGGGCTAGTGTGGATGACTCGCGGTGACTCCAACCAAGTAGTTCACACCTATCAGCATGGCTCAAACCAACTATCAATGACTTTATGAACTAATACTATTCATATCCTAACTTAGCCACCCCTAACTTCCTTCCAACCTATTCCTACACCAGAAAACATGTTGCTTCGGAATAGGGGGTAGTTGGGGATACTTGACACATATCTAAAATAACTTCATCAACCCATATGCCATCTTTACCTAGTACCCAGAATCAAAGTCTGATATGATATATATCATTTAACAAGTACAGGTTTATGTACTCCGCTTTGAGTCACATTGTTTATGAGCGGTAGTGACAGCAATCGGTTACACAGAATTGAATTCAGTCTTGCGCTATTTGGACTGACTACCTGAAGAGTTAGGGCTACATGGTTTAATTACGAAGCTACTGGTTCTGGAAAAAGACCTGGGTTACCGCAAATTAACAATTAAGCAGAAATATGATTTATTTCAATAGGCATATCTCATCTTATTCACAATCGGATGAGTCTCAAGAAGTCTGAATTATTAATTTAAATATTTCTATTCGATTAGATGAATTTTGTCAAAAAACTATGTAACTATTGAGAAATATGAAAATCCTAAGTCTGACTCCGGTGAACAGTTGTAAGTGAACAATGTCAAATATCCATACTGTTTCTATGGTTTCACAACTTAATATCAAATAGTGATCAAAATTATCTGTGATATGAAATTACCCTTAAATGATCTTTTGACTCTTATGGAACAATTCGTCGAATGAGAATCAATAATTTATTTATTTATTTATTTATTTATTTATTTGAACACATAAATATTGGTACAAGAGAGCGCCAATATATATGCGCCACACAAAACAATGGGAATTCGAAGAGAAAAAAAAAAACTAAGGAACGCAAAAGAAAAAGAGAGTAATGACGAAGAGGTACAATCAGAAGAAATCTTTCAGGTAAAGGAGACACAACCACCTTTTATGAAGAAAGTAAAAGAAGGTTACAGCAGGATCGCCACTGGCTTCTATTCTGAGCCATATCTGATAACGTCTCTAGCCACTGTGTAGCACCATCTCTCGGACCCCAGCCAGGGAGTCGTGAAGGACCAACACAAGCCAGTCCTTTGCAGCTTTCTTTCATGCCACGACACCATGTCATGCACTGACCACCTCTCCGCTTCTTCCAACCAGTCCCAGAGTCGGCAAATAATGCACGACGTGGAATTCTCTGGGACGACATTCGGAGAACATGTCCAAGCCACCGAAGTCGGTTTTTCAAGATGGTAACACCAATTGAATTATCATCTCTGTGCCCGAACACACGATGCCGAGCCTCTGCATTACTGACATGGTGTTGCCACTGGATGTCAGCAATCCTTCGGAGACAGCGATGATCGAACACAGAGAGTCGTCTAACGTCCTCAACTCGGAGAGGCCAGGTTTCACAAGCATAGAGCAAAACTGCTCTCACCGACGCGTTGTAGATCCGGCCTTTTACACCCAGACTAACATCACGAAGGCGCCAAAGGTGGCCCAGATTGGCATAAGCCGCTCTGGCTTTCACTATTCGTGCATTGATCTCATCACTCACACCCCCACCAGCACTTATGCAGCTACCCAGATACACGAACTTCTCAACTACGTCTATCTGCTCACCATCCAGGGTGAGTACAGGATTAGAATCCTGCCAGTCTTGTAGAAGTACTTTGCACTTCGAAGGTGCAAAGCACATACCATACCTACGGACATTGATTGCCAACTGATTAAGTGCGGATTGCATGCCTTGGGCATTATCGCACAGTAAGACAATATCGTCCGCATACTCAAGGTCGAGAAGTCTTTCTCCAGGCAACAGATCCACACCACCATTACTTACATTCATCAGAGCTGTTTCCAGAATGTCATCGATGGCAAAGTTGAAGAGGAATGGTGAGATTGGGCAACCCTGCCTAACCCCACTGCTCGAATGGAACAATGGAGAGAGGTGGTTGTATGCCCTCACTCTGCCTGAGGTGTTTTTATACAGGGCTTTTAGGATGTTAATAAACTTCTCAGGCACACCCTT